ATTTATTGCTATACTTACATTCTGTGATGTCAAACACCAAAATTCTAAGTTCATACAATCAAAAGATTGTATTTTCAGTTTATTATTCCAGAAATAGATGAACCATGGTATTTAAAATTTAATAATTCAGCTATTTATTCAGAAAATACTGAAGATAAATTTACACAAATGTTTTGGGAATTAAGTATGAAGAGTTTTGATGAATTTATTAAAAAATTAATAAAATTACCAAGAAAATCATTAGATAATTCCAGAGAGGTTTTGACAAAAAGAGAACAAATTAAAGCTCAAATTGAAGGATTGAGGAAATCATTAAATAATGCTCTGATAAAGAAGAATGAAATAAAAAAGACATACGAAGTATTTTATTTGAACCGTGATAAAGTTAATAATAATCAAAATTTTACTTTTACCATTGATGTAACAAAGCAGAAAAAATTTAAGTTAAAATCTGGAGAGCATGCAACTAATTGTGCTGAATGTTATAAAACATGTTGTTATCCATGTCGTGTTCCATTTTTTATTTCAAATTTTACAGCAAGAGGATGTTCTTGTATTTCATTAGGGCGTTGTACTGTATGTGGGTGTAGTTGTTCAGAACACAAAAGAGTATCATATAGAATTGATGATGTAATTGAAACAAAAGAACAAACAGCAGAAGAAGTACGCAAAAGATATAATGAAGGTAAAGAAGGTATGGCTAGTGCAGAAACTACGTTAAAAAAGTTAAGAGAAGACTACTATGAAATCATAATGAAATGTTATGAGAAACAAGAAAAAATTAGAGAGTATAACAATATATTATCATCAATTGCATTAAATAATAAAATTGATAGTTCTAATGATTATTTAGATTTATTAATTGAAAAAGAAAAAAAAGAACAAAGACCTGGATATTTGAAACTAGTAAATGGATATAGAAAACTTAAACAAGCAAATGAGATAATAGAAGATATTATGAGAAAATCAAGTTCAAAAAAGAGCAGAGAAGAGGTTAAGGCAGAACTTGAAAGAGGAATGAGTGAATTAAAACAATGAGAAAAATCAACATTAGGTAAATTCATTCAAAAAATGAGAAGTATGTTTTAATCTGATAAAAACAGATAATTAAATGAAAGTTTTAATTAATTGGTTTAAAAGTTATTATTTAATTAAGTAATAAAAATGATATACAATGTTCTTTATTTTCCAATCTGAAATTTGTTCATTTTTTATTATTAATTAAATTCTCTATGTATATTTGAATATAATACAATAAATGAATCAAATGAATTATCATAATGTTAAATATAATGTTTTAACATCAATATTAATTTCAATTTTTAAATAATTTAATTATTCTTTTCTTTCTTATTGATTGATATATCATTCTTTATATTTGTTTTATAATTCTCTTTTTATTCTTTATTTCTTTTTATTCTTATTTTTATATTCTTATTCTTATCTTTCTTTTTTATTTTATTTCTTTATATCTTTTATTTTATTTATTTTATATCTTTATTTTCTTTTGTTTATTATTTATTTTCTTATTTATTTTCTTATTTATTTTCTTATTTATCTTCTTATTTATTTATATTTTATATTTATTCATTCTTTATTCTTCATTTTGTTTTAATTTATATTAAAATTATTTAGAAATGAGAGAATATAATGATGAATTTGATTTTATATTTTGATTATTTCATTAATCAAATTGTTGATTAATGATTATTGTTGATAATTTTCATATTTCATTTTATTATTATTATTTTATTGATGATTTCATTATATTAATTGTTTATGATACAAATAAATAATTCTTATTGAATAATATCATCTGATTCATTCATTAAATGTTGAAATAAATAATGTAATTTCTAGTTTATTTTAATTATTATATACTTTTTATATTAATTTATATATTATTATAATATCAAATAGAATATTTAATTTAAATAAACAAATAAATTAATGATATTTGCCTATTGTTAATTAAATTATTATAGAAATAAAATATAGAATATTGTTATACATTAAATGATTATATTTCATTTTATTTCATTATTTATTATTAAAT